GGAGCTGGCTGCAGCCGCAGCCTCGCTGAGGGTTAAGGTCACTGCCCCCAGCGGGAAGCTGACCCGGGACATTTGAGCCCAACACACCCCTGAGTTAAACCAAAACAGCACCTGCCCCTGGGGCACCTGCACCCACCCATGTGCTGCAGTCACTCACGGGCAGCAGCACTGTCCCCAAACAGCTGCCATGGCGGGGCACCAGCCCAGGGGGACTGGGCCAGGACAGAGCACCTTCATCCCCACTCACCCTCACCGAGCCAGAGAGGACACCAGAAGGGGCAAGCAGTTACTGCCCCAACCCCATCTGCTTCACACTTAGAGGTAAGCCAAGAGGAGACAAGAAGCACTACCTGTAGGAGTGTGATTGACATGCAGGGCCTTGGTAAGAGATCCAATTTACTCATTTGTTTTTTAAAAAAAAAGTAAAAAAGCAATTGGCTAGCATGCAACATTACATTGTCAGTAAAAAAAAAAAAAAAAAAAAAAAAAAGGCTGTAGGCACAGGGCTCACCTCGGCCATTGTATCCTTCTTCCCTGTTCCTTCCTGCCAGCACACACCACGTAGATTATTGGGAGCTGACGTAGGCTGGAGCAGAAGGACACGAGCTGCTGCCTGTGACATTAATGACCTTAGAAGAGAGAAGGCTCAAGACAATTTCTCACAGTCCTGCTTCATTTAGGGTCACAGAACTAACACGAACCAGTTTAGGTCCTTTAATCTGTCCAAGACAGGGTGCTGAAGCACAAATGATAAAACATTCTGCATTTTTACAGCAAAAATGCTACAGAAGTTTATAGGAAAAAAAATATTTTTGTACATGGGTAAAACATTATAAATTCAAGACAACTCACAGACAAAGGCTAAACTCCCACAGCTATCGCTCATTTTTTAAAAAGTTCATTTGAATAGGCAAGCAGTCAAAATGGCTTGCTCTCTCTTCCTTGAAATGAAAATTGTATCTTCCAAGTGGCTCACAGCACTGCTTTGCATCTTGGAATGTCCTCCAAAGGCTCCGCCAAGATAAAAGGAGAATAAAAACCCCCGGAGTCCTTTCAGATAGTCTCAGAGAGCAGGAGAAGGGAAAGAAAAGGGGAAGTTTATTCAAACTTGATCTTCTTCCCTTGCGGCTTGTGATCTCCACCTCCTCCTCTGCCTCCTCGGAAGCCACCTCCTCTACCTAGAAAGAAAATTAGGCCAAGAAGCAGAGTTACAGGTATCCCTGCACAGGTATCACTGCCCTTCCAAACCCATCCCGATTCACATCAAGCATGCTCTGGCAGCACTACACCATAATCCCAAGCCATTCTTGGGATTAACTTTTAAACACACCCCCTTAGAAGAGCAGCATTTATCTCCTCTTACCTCCAAATCCTCTGCCACCACCTCTGCCACCAAATCCACCTCTTCCTCCTCGGCCTCCTCCTCCTCTGCCGCCACGACCACCAAATCCACCGCCACGTTGAAATTCACCCTTTGGCTTGGCAAAATCAAGGATCACTTTGTTTCCATCTATCTCTCCATCCTCCATGGCTTCTTTAGCTGCTTTGGCATCTTCTGGGGAGCTGAAGTCCACAAACCCAAACCTAGGAAACAGGTTGAGAGAGACAGTCAACCTCTGCAAGCTATAGCACCACCTACAGGCACTCGACAGCAATCCCTTCAGAAACAATCGCCTGCACTTCTGCAACCACACAGGGATCAGGATGGTGTTACTTGTAGAACAGCAGTGGCTAATCACAATCGATGGGAGCCCCGTTGTGAGTTTGCCAGTACTGAACAGTTAATATTCTTCTCGTGCGAATCCATAGGCTGCCACGGATTTGTTGGCAGGAAGGAGCTCATTGAGAAGTGAGCACACGCTGCCCTCTACAAACAGACCCGACGCTGTAAGCTTGCTCTCTGCTTCCATGCAATTTACTGGCTTCAAAGAATCACCCACATGAGCATTAGAAACACCCCACACCACAGAAATTAGTTGAAAGTGAAGTTTTTTGTAGGAACTGAACTAATCCCAGGTTGATGTTTATTTAGCATACCCTTTAGATGATCCAGTGTCCCGGTCTGTGACTATTCTAGCACTTATAGAGCCTTCAAATGATTCTTTTAGCGTCTCCTCTGTAGTGTCCTCAGAAAGGCCTCTGACAAACAATGTTTTGCTTTGTTCTACGGAAAGAGAAACATTCAGAGATGATTACATCTGAGCAAGGGAACCATCGGTTTCTTAACATCACATCCAGCTTGCACTACAGGCTCCTACAACAGCTCACGGGGCCAAGGGCTTTGTTTTGAAGTAACAGCTCAGGCACTTAAACAAGTCCTTGAAAACTTTTTCAGGACTACAGTTAGAACCTGATGTCGAAGTATCTCAATCAGCCAATCTGGTACTGTCAAACATTTTTTTCTCCCCCCCCCTTTTTTTTTTTTAAAGAAATGCTTGCATCTTATCAATAGGGATACTAACTGGACAGACACTGCTGGATCAGCACTTGACTATCTAGAGGACTTCGGCAAGAGTTTCATCAGCATTTCAGATAATCAGTCATCATATCCAGCACACTTGCTCATGATGCAAGTCCTTCACTCCACAGGCATGTTTTGGGTTTTTTTTGTTTTGTTTTTTTTAAAAAGCAGCCCTAAGTTTGTGTGAATAGTACGCTCCTGCCACAGCTGTCTCAAGATCAAATGATCAAACATGGAACACTTACGATTAAATCCTCCTCTTGCGTTCATGTTCCCTTTCTGCCATGCTGGTGAACTGAATTCCAGTCTGATTGCTCTGCCTTCAATCTCTGTGTTATTACAGGAATTCAACGCCTCTTTGGCATCCTCAGTTGTGGGAAATTCTACAAACGCATACCTATTCGGAGAGGAAGATTTCAGTCAGCCTGGAGCACAAGGGATCTGTGAAGGTAAGTCAATCGCAATGCCAACTCAGCAGTCAGGAGAAAGGCACAACATACCCTTTAGGCCTGCCCTGGTTGTTCTGTGGCATCTTGATAGAAGAAGCTTTCTTAAACAGTTCTTGGAGAGTCTCTTCTGAAGCAGCGTATGAGAGGTTGTTGACAATTAGAGTCTTTGACTCCCGCTCTCCACCTCCTCCTGTGGAGGAAACTCAGTGCTGTAGGTGCAAGTTTGGAGAAGAGCTCTCTCTTCCTCTAGGCACAACATTCCCTCTAGGGTGAAAGTAGTTGTTGCTCCCTCCTCACCTCAAGGTGAGGCACAAGGCTAAGGGCAACGCTTTTTTTGTCACCTAGTTGTCCCCTCTTGTCTGAAACATGCAGTAGAGGCATGAAATGCATAAGGTCCCTTCCTGATACCTTACAGTTTTCTCAAGTTGTTCTATCCCTCACAAACTTCAGAAACAAGTGCAACTAAATCCTAAATGTCATTTGCATGCACATTGTTAGTCTGGAAAAGTACCTTTCTGATGGTCTTGATGGCTCTTCTCACCAATGAAGTCAATGACCATGGCTCGACCATCAATCTCTGAGCCCTGCTTCTCCTCCAGGGCTTTGTTCGCTTCAGCTTCTGTTTTAAATTCAATATAAGCCATCCTACAGCACAGAAAAGAACTAAGTAAATGCCTCCTTCCAGGAATAACTACATTCATGGAGGTGGGGAGAAGGATGTGGAAGAAAAATGCTTCAAAAACGAGCATTTTCAGTACACCTAATGCAGCAGGCCCCTTAAGGTAGCTTAAGGACACGAGCTTATCAAAACATGCCTGAGGTCTGAGGAACAGCAAACATTTAACAGTCCTCTCAGCTACATACCCTTTGCTGTTCCCTTCCTTGTTCATTACTATTCGGATTTCTAGTGCGTTTTCAAACACTTCTCTCATTTCATCTTCAGTTAAGCGGTAAGGCAGATTCTTCACGAACAGTGTTCTAGCATCTCTCTCTGCAAAGAGAGAAAAAAAGTTACTTTCACATTACCAGCTAAAAATCCCTTCTCATCTATGCTGCCAGTTCAGTGAGAATGAGTTCATCCAGCAGAAAATAAACCACAAGCATTCATTTTCAGAAACTGAAAAAGCAACTATTATGACAGTTAATTAGGCTGCCATTGTACTTCTCTTAAGGGCATCAAGTTCTGAAAACAGGTCCTAAAGTTTCAGCAAGAGCCACATTTCCTCCTCAGACCCCCCCAACATAAGCTGTTTCTTGGGATCATGTTTCCAGATATACTAGCCTGAACATGCCCATCTGCATATTAGCATTTGAGAAACTGTTTATAACATAACAGGAATATCTGCCTTAAAAGGCAGAATAGCAGCAATCAAGAATACTGCAAGCCTGCTCCAAGGCCTGATTATGACAACTCTTCTTTGACGTGCATGGGTAGTCAAGAGTTATGGGCCATACCCTTCTTATTTTCTTTCATTGTTTCCTTGCTCTTTGCTTTTTCCAGTTTGATTTCCAAACCCATTAACTTCTTCCCGTTCAGTTGGAGAGCTTTATCCAGATCTTCAGCAGATGAAAAGTCTACGTAGCCGAATCGCCTGAAAGAAGAGTAACCTTACTATTTAAGCTGATCTATATCTCTAGTAGCAGACAACCCAAACAGAAACCCAGAACCAGAGAGGTCCCCACTGGCCCATATAACCAAAACAACAGTAGAGAACAGCAGCTCTGTACTCAAGAGGTAGCTCTCCCTTTAGGGAGATGCTGTCTGAAAAACCTGCAAGCCAGGGAAGTACTACACCATTATCAGTACTGTGCTTCTTCCAGCTCCCATGTACTCAAGCAACCACCCCAGCATCTCAAAGGCAACCAGCATCACCTCTCCAAACACATTACTGCTGACTAAAATAAGCATCAAATTATACTGATGAACTCACTTGGAAGCACCAATTCTGACATCTAAAACTTCAATATTTTTCTTCCCAAAGAATTCTTTGATGCCAGTCTTCAGTTCTTCATACTCCTTGGTGGGGACCAAATTTCCCACAAACAGGGAGAAAGCTGAAGTGGGGCCTTTAAATGAAAAAATAATGAAGTGGGTTTTTTTAAGGCAGTTAAAAGAACTAGAAGGCAGACTCCAGACAGCTTTAGCACATCAGTTTATGCTCAGAAGTGACATCATACTTCAGTATTAAGTCCCTTATAAGCATCATTTGTGCTGTGAAAAAAGCCTGCTCAGCATCCTGTCCCTTCCAGGTTATGTGCCTCACCCAACAGTCCAATAACAGTCCATCAAACAAGCATCATTTCATGATCCCACACCACTTACCGTCTGTCTTCTTTTTCTTGGCCTCTGGTGCACTTTTATTGGCCATTTCTTTCTTCCTCTTTCCAGGTGCTTCCTTGACAGGTTCTGTGATAGAGAACATACACAACTGAAATAAAAGTACAAACCAACTTTTCCTATACTGGATCAATACGGGAGCTTTAATCTTCACACCAGTCATACACAAACCTCCTCTTGTCACTACAGCAACTGTTCCTCAGTCCAAAACACCATGATAGGACAAAAATTTTGCTTAGGCATCTTTCCTTATGGTGTCAATGACATTTAAACTCACTTTCATCCTCACTTTCCTCCTCGGCATCCTCTTCATCCTCCTCCTCTTCATCATCCTCTTCATCCTCCTCCTCTTCATCATCCTCCTCTTCAGAGTCTGCCTTGGCTTTCACTGGTGCGGCCTTTGCTGGAGTAGGTTTCTTCACTTGAACAGGGGTTGTGTCCATGGCTTCATCTTCAGACTCTAAAACAAGGCGAGTGCAAGATTTCAGATACGTTCAAGATTAAGCCCCCTTTTGAAACTGAGAAATAAAATCTTGTGAAGTAAAACTGTGTTTTTCATGCCGCCCTGTCTGTATGTTCTGAGGAAAGGAGTTTAAGATATTTAGTGTTTATTAAAGCTGCCTCTCCCTCAAGTTTTACTGCATTAAAAAAATCAATACCTGTTCCCCAAGAGTAAAAGCAAGTTTTACTAGCAATAGGGAAATAAACACCCACACTAGTAGCCAGCTAAAATCAGCTGGGCACTACATGGTCACACACACTCACTCTGCATCACTCCCACTAATCCATGAAGTTACTCCTCCTCTAGCTCCCTTTAAGAATTTATTAGTTCTATATCTTCTAAATTTTTTTTGACAGTAAAAGTTTTTTTAAATCCCACATACCATCATCTTCCTCATCCTCATCCTCCTCCTCATCATCATCATCATCCTCCTCTTCTTCAGATTCTTGCTTTGCTGGCACAACTGCAGGCTTTTTGGCTGGTACTGCTGCTGGCTTTTTGGCTGCAGGCTTCACAGGCATTGCCGGTTCCTCTTCTTCATCTGCAACAGCACAGCAAATGTTTACCCATACCACTCAGCTTTCACACTCAAGCAAAGTACTTTTTTTTTTTTTTTTTTTTTAAGATTTTGGCAAAGTTTGGGAAAGAATGATCAGGAAACTCAAAGATGCTTTACATGCTGCATGTAATGCAGCTGCAACCCAAGTTCTCCAAAATTCACCGATTCCCCACCTTTCCTTCCTCACCACCTTTAATCAACGAATCCCCCTCTCAAGAGTGTTAAATCATACTCAGCTTCAAATTCAGCAACTTGATGGGACCAACTTTCATTGTATGAGGATGAACACCTATTTCAGAAGTAACTTACCAGAATCTTCTTCCTCATCATCCTCCTCATCCTCATCATCTTCCTCATCCTCATCATCTTCCTCCTCACTCTCTTCCTTCTTGGCATTCTTTCCATTTTTCGCTCCTTTGGTTAGGACAGCAGCCTTTTTAGGTGATGGAGCAACAGCCTTTTTAGCTGGAGTAGCCACAGTCTTCTTGGCAGGTGTAATTGCCTTTTTTGCAGGAGTAGCGGCCTTCTTCATGGGGGTAGCAG